TTATTCCTGGTCATTAATAAATGGAGGAATCGAGACCTCCTTTTAGCCTTTACATCACACTCACGAAAAATAAATATTACCGTCTTAAATCCAAATATAAATCTTCAAAATTGAATAAAAAAAATATATTTCCCACAGGAGGAAGCAAGAGAGCCCAGTTGATATGGCTGACGCGATCTGAGAACCATTCTAAATATCTGATTCACTTCTAAATATCTAATATCCCTTATAATATATAAATCGTCAAAAACTAACCTTATCCCGACTTACCCAACAAATATTGAGTTTTCATCAAAAGCTGTTTAACTCCATTAAATAGAAGGCTGCATTTGAGTTAGAACCAATCCTTGATAGTAGAAATTTGCTTCTTTAAGGTTCGTGTTTTGCCCTTCCGATCCGTTTGAAAGTCATTGTTATGAAAAAGGAAGCAGAACACAACATTAACAGAACATCATGAGAAATTCTGATTTCGAATTCAGATCTCACTTTCCCTTCGAGTTTTCCAAACTGACACATAGTTAATATCGATTTTTGGTAATGTGTTAATTCGAATATTGTTTTCAGCGACAGTAATGTGATCAGGTTCAAATAAATTACTTCTTATTTAAGTGAAATTTCGAACAATACTTGCAGAGTAGAGTATTTTAAAATAAGACAAAGAAAACAATAAATTTGCTACAAAAATAACAATGTTATTTTCAGCAAGATTCTACCACAGCTTACATTTCAGGACTCCTTAATGGCTCCACTAGGTCTTGCGAAAGCCTGTCGAAACGTTTCAGAGACGCCATGACTATGAATAAAGCCAAATCAGTCATCTAATTGTTGGGGTTATCTCCGACAGAATATACTACGCTACTTGTACAAGAAAAAACAGAATCCTCATTCTTCAACCTAAGATTTTGAATATTGCAGTAATAATGGACGTTCAAATTATTTGAGTATTTCACTGAGTGTTTAAAATGGCTCTACTAACAAGCTAGAGGAGAGGCATTCCTGTCAACATTCTTTAAAAAGGAAATTGCAGTGAAATGTTTGAAAATCCATCTCCTAATTTTCGTCACGTCCAATTTATTTAGGCGACATATATTTGGAAAAGTGCGGAAATTGCTGATGTCAAAAATTCCCGATAACGAAGTAGACATGCATTTAATGAAAAAGGAATGCAAGGCAAATGGAAAGAAGGGAAATTAAAGAAATAATAATTTTTACCCATCCATACGATAAAAGAAGATTGATGACCAAAGCCCACTGCTTGGCGATTCTGAACACCCGACGTAGGAAAGTAACTTCCCTTCAGGAAAACCTTCCAATGATATACACTTCCCTCAAAATCTCGTTACATTTCTAAATTTCGTTCACAGAGATGCGAATTCAGAAAATGGCGTCAAACAGAAGGGTAATTCATGAAGTAAACGTACACCCCTTTTTAAAAGAAATTAGACGAAATTATAAACAAAACAGTTCCAGAGGTTAAAATTTGTATGAAATTTGTTTTATTTATGGAAATTGAAATTATTCTACGAAGCGAGATACAGAAATCAATTCAAAGAATATTCCATCATGTAAATTCTTTTCAAACATGACTTTATTTAGAAAACATCTGCTAAAGACTTGTGATAAGTGATATTTTATACGGGACAAAAAGGAGACAATGATTTCACTTTTATCAGTAAAATTTAATTTATTTAATATTACAATTATGATAAGAAATCAATAATTCACTACCTATAAATTATTGAATTATAACATTTCCATTCAAAAAATTACACCTAGTATTCATCATCAGTAATTTACCGAGGTTCTGTCTAGTATAACAGCTGCCTTCTGCCAACACTGGGGTACAAAGAGCATAAATATCTCCTAACGTAAGCGTTCTCACGACGCTGCAGTTTACAGAACGCATCACCACAGAAGAATTTCACGACTCGAGTTTCGCCGAGGCAGTGAGAAGCGGATTTTGTAGAGCTTGAGTTCAAAGAGGGGTAGTCGCAAAGGTTCTTATGCATGTTAAGTGACACTGAGGCTGTATATCGCTCTACTTAGTGTTAGTGCTTCAAACATTTCCACCCAGATAACAGTCTATTTTGAAATGTACTTCTAGAAACGAAAGGCGCCTACAACACATTGTTTGACGGTTTGCATGAAGTCATTTTTCCAAGTTTAAAAGCCCGAATAAATAGTTTAATTGACAATTTCCATTATTACATTTTAGATTAATGTTTTCTATACATTATGCATTTAATCATAATTTCTAAAATATACTTGAATAGGAAAATATAAAAAAAATTAAAATAGAAGTTCTGAAACTTCAAAAACTTGTAATTACCATTCTTCAATTTCTGGTTTGAAGAGGCTGTATATATTAAAACTATGTCAGAACGAATACCTTGATATTCGAAAAGTTTCCACTGGAGACTGGATGACAAGTTTCAAATGGTAAAATACCTCGATGAAACGTGGGTTCAATCCCTTTTTATATATTCCTGCGAAATGTTTCTTCCTAAAATATCAACTGTTATATAATAATTTAAATAATGAATCAATCTTATGATTCGAAAGTACATGGGAAATTATTATTATCTACTATTACATGAATATTCACGATCAGCAATCAATGCTCAGGCCCTCATAGGATCATGAAAGAAGGTGGCGTGCTCCTCTCTTTCAATTCACTTACAATTTACTCCATTCATTCACGAAAACCAAATTCCAAATCACATCACATTCCAAAAGAAGTATTATTTATTAGGTCCGAATTTTTTAACACATTTCATTTTTCATTCGGAAGTACGCAGTTCAGCTTACATTCCTTTTTCATATGAATTGAATGGCTTACAAATATTCTTATTTCCTAACCTCAAAAACGAACTCCAGGAAACGAGCTATAGAATAAGGTAGGAAGCTTCAATCTGCGCTTACTATTGTCAATTATTCGACAATATGTTTAGGCAAGCGTTAAAAGGGTATCGTTTTTTTTAATTCGTGGTGGAGTATGTGTGTTGAGGCGTATTAAGCCCGAGTAGACGAAATTTCTAGATGCTTACGAGTTCATTCTACAATGTGTTATTTCTCCTGAAAGAGAGGAGATCTAAACCGAACATTCTCCCCTCTAAATCCGACGTACGGCTCACTAAGAACGAAATAAAACGCGAGAACACGCGGGAGCCCCGTGACCGCATGGGTCACGTGATCCGGAAGCGCGTCTGCGAAACGCGGCGCGGCGCCGGAGAGCGGCAGGCGGAGTTCCCAGAGCTCCCAACTTACGAGGCGCTGGGTCAGCAGCGCCGTCGCCCGCTCCTGTGCGAGGCGACGGCTGCGTTATTTGGCTGACGCGTCGCGTCGTCGCCCCGCGGAGGAAAGAACGCTGCAGAGGCGGGAGCGCCCGGCGCGAGGGGAAGTAATTCATTCATGAAAACCACCAAATGCCAAATCACATCACATTCCAAAATGAGTATTATTACCAAGCCCGAATTTTTTTACACATTTTATTTTTCATTCGGAAGTACATAGTTCAGTTTACATTCCTTTTTCATATGTATTGAACGGTTTACTGAGAGTGTGTGCGAGGTGTGGGGAAGAGATAAAGCAGGACAGGACTTCTAGACATAGAGCTCCAAGGCAATCAAAAGATTGAGGCCTCTGCTTTTTAATATCTGAACAAAAAAATATGACAAATGGGGAACAGCATTTGCACGTCTTGGGACATACGCAGCACCCGAGATCGAATTTGTTCCGTCCGTTCTCCGCTGTGAGCGTATTGGAGCAGAAGACTAGTTCACTCTGAGCACCGTGCTGTCACGTCTCTGTTACACAAGTTATGCGCAAGCAATATTCATCTATTATTATTTGTTCTATATTTCTGTTTTATAATTTCCACTTATTTATAATGAATATTCCAGTTATACAAATATTTTAAAATCTGAATTAAATAAATATATTTAAAAATCTATATAACTAGTAAAATAGTTAAAATATGCTTTCCAATGTTTAATAACTATTGTTTATTTATTAGGATCCTTAATGCATTTTATTACTATAATCTGGGCCTCAGGCAACTACCTAGTTCGCCCAGGCAGAAGTCCGCCCTTCGTCATAAGGCAAGGTGTGGCGAGAGGGAGACAGGTGCTTTTATGAGCAGGGTTGTAAATATTAAAAATCAAAATGGTGGATAAGGCAAAACGAGACGAGAGGATGAAAGAACAGGTCAGTGTGGCAAGAGTGTCAGGACAATGAGGCAAAGATGTGATAGGTGCGGAATGACAGAGCGAGAAGGGTCTAAAAAGACGGAGATGAAGCGGAAATAAAACAGATGATACTATAGAAACGAAAAGAGAGAGGAGAAGTTAATGATGAGCGATCGAGGACCGTAGCAGCTGAGAGACGCGTGCGGTGGCGGGATCCGTTGTCGCAGATGTGTGCACAAGAAGAATATGAAAGTAGATACGGGCGGAGGCGGAAGTGTATTTGAGTGTATCCACGATAAGAAACGTTGATAATGGCAGAAACAGTAGGGGGACAGGAAGTTATCGGCTGACACGATAAGAGCGGTAGCAGTAAGGGGTATCATGGTGTTAAGTGACTTCCACGCCGGATAAAGCACAAGCAAAGTTGCAGGTAAAATGAAGGTGTTGGGAGGGAGGGAAGCTATCTCGTCGCACGGAGGCAGGAACATCGGGTTGGAGTTGCGTATACGACAGTGCGATTGCATATGGCACAGCCAGGACGTGGGGGATGGGGATGTTGCAGCGGCGGCAGCAGCAGCAGAGAGAAGACGTCGTTGACGACGCGGCAGAACGAATACCGCCGGGGGAGGCGGAGGCTGCCGCGGGACGTTATGATTGACACCGTGTCGGCTCAAGTGACGCCAATGGAGTGGAAAGGGGACGGGGCGAGGGGCGTGTGCCACGACGGCGGCGTCTAAGGCGACAGAGGCGGGGCGGAGGGGGAGGGTGGGGATTTGGCGAGGTGGGGCGAGGGCGGAGGGGGAGGGGGCGGAGGGGGCGGAGGGGAGGGGGCGGAGGGGGGCGAAGGAGCGGCTCGAGAGACTCAAGAGGGCGCGCGGCCGCTCGGAGGGTTCAATTTGCTCGTCGTACTCTCTG